GGCGGGGCCGCAGGGCGGCGAAGCCGAGGAACGTCGACCCAGACGGCCGGGTAGCGGGCCATGAAGTCGAGGGGCGGGCCGCGGAGCTCTGGCCGCCGCCGCCGGCAGCGTCCATGCCGAGCCAGGCGCCGAGACCGGTGCGGACGAGCCAGGGGCTCAGCACAAGGTAGCCGGCCGTCAGGGCGCTCGAGAGGAGGTTGTTAGCGCACATCATCTGCGGGCCCGAGTAGGCACGGTAGGTGCTAAAGATGTGGTCCTGCGTCGTGTTGGTGAGGCCGTCGAAGATGAGGTTGACGCTCAGCAGCAGCAAGCCCCAGGCCGTGTTGGCGTCCGGGTTGGGGCGCTCTGCTTCTTCTTCTTGCCCGAGCCCGTGTGCAGCGTGAAGACGGCGACGCCCGCTGTGACGCCTGCCACGACGAGGTACTTTGTACAAGGGGGTAGCGGCGGCCGAAGAGGGTCGTCTGCAGTAGCATGACAGGGAGAAGCTTGCAGGACTTGGCAAGAAGGAAAGTAATGTAGTTCGATGTGGGAGAGCGATGCGTAGCCAAATGGCGAGGCGAGAGACGACGTGATGGCGACAAGGAAGGAGAGGAAGAGCAATCTGTCGGCTCGGAAAGATCGCTGGGAGGACAAGGAGGAGTACCTGCGGCGCGGGGCGCACGGCGCAGTGCTCCAAGTTAGTAGAGGTATAGGAAGCCTGTCGCGGCAGCAAAGAGAGATTGGATTGTATTCAGGAATACGGGGTAGCGGAAGACTTCGGGCGCGTCGGTCGGTCCATAGGGGGTTGTCGTGAGCTTTTCCTGGAGGTAAGCCCAAGTCAGGCTGTTGGACACATGTTAGCAATCAACATTTGGCGACCATGGTCATGGAGCCATGAAGACACAACGTACAAGGACATGTAGATGCCGCCAGTCGCGACAAGGACCTGGAATGCGGCAGCAGGCTCCTGCTTTGGCGGCGGCGACGCAGCGGCTGGGTGCACTCCCTTAGTCGTCACGCCATTCGAGGGCTTCGGCGACTCGCCACTGACGGTGCGCTTGAGGGCATCATTCTTGCTAAAGTACTCCGAAGACGTCTCGCGTCGGAGGGGCGTGGCTTGCTTCGTGCGCGCCATTACAGGTGTTGACGCTCTATGGTCCTTTTGCAATCAACAAGGAAGATAAACCAAGGGCATTGAAAGGTATGCAAATATTTCGGTCTCGGCCAAGAATGAGAGAGAGAGAGAAAGGCTATAGTCAATGAGTGACGGAATCGAAGGGCCGATGCTGTATAGTATTGTTGAATCGCGGGGATAGAATGAGATGACAGTTGGCTTCATCCCTGGTCCAGGAACGGAAGCTCGATCCCCAGAGTATTAATATGGGTCACATGCTTGGCGCCTTCAGGGTCCTCGATCCGCATCCACGGATAAGGCTTTTCGGCTTATCACGTCTCCACAGGCAGCCATTTCGCAAATTTACAGGGACTACTTGATTCACATTGTGCTACGACGGGTGCTCAAAGTTTTGCATTTCCTCGTTGTCTGCTAAATAAATCCCATCTCGCCAATTGTCGAGGAAATCCGGAGCATGCCTCGACAAGGTAGAGCCAGGGTGCATCAATATTCTGATGAGCTTGATCAGGCGAGAGGCCGGTTTTCTGGGTATGTTGGCACAGCGAGGGTAAAAAGACAGACGTCCTGGGTGTCCGTCTGAGGTAGGAAGGGAGAGAGAGAGTCTGTGTTTGCATGTGTGCGCGCGCAGGTAGATAAGTGAGAGGAAAAGAAGGAGCAGGGTGTAGTGTTCGATTAAAGATGCCGAAGCCAAGGTGTATGAGAGGTATCCCCCCGAGTAAGGTGGTGTTTTGTTCATCACGTCGTGAGAGAGAACGTCCCACAGAGGCCAGCGAAGTCAAACTGCTCCTCGGACAGCGAATAACGATGGCCTGCGGAATGGCGGTCTTCGGTGCACCTGCGAGGGTCGGTTGTTGAGTCAGGTTCAGGGCTTGTTGCAGCTGTGACCAGGGCTGCCATGAAAAGAAACGGACGGTGGATTACGGATGGCGGAGGCCGAGGCTCGATCGGGGACGCCACGGTCGGTGCTGGGAAAGCGAGCCTCGGGAGCAGGGACGAGAGAGAGTGTGGCCAGGAATACGGTTTCGTGGTTGAAAGAGTCAAGAGGTCCGTGGGAGAGGAGTTCAGGGAGTTGTCATGACGTCGTATGATTTCCGCACTCCCTATCAAGCATATAGGCCAGCCTCGCGGCAAGTCAGATCTGGATATCGCCCTACCGGAGGTTTGCAGTATCCGACGAAAAAAGAAGCCCAGGGAATCGCAAAACGCAGAATCGAGTAAGATACATATGTCAGAAGCTTACTCAGAGGTCTGAGCCTGGCTACGGCGCATCTTCTCAGCCTCGAGGTTCTCGTAGAGGAGGAAGAGAGCCGACTCATTGGCCTTGCTGGTACCCATAATGGTGAACATGCGCTCACCAGTCTCGTCATGGGGGGCCTGCATCGTGTGTTAGTTGATGAGTGAAAAGGGGGCATCAAGCTGAATCAAGCAATGTAACTTGCCTTGGCAATGGAGATGCGAGCCCCAGATGTCTTGCGAATCTCGCTGATCTTACTGCCGGCACGGCCGATGATGCAGCCAACCATGTCAGCGGGGATGCTGATGTTCTGAGTCTGCAGTTCCTCGCCATTCTCATCGTGAGTGGGTGGTCCACGGGAGGCAGCGTCTGAATCGGAACGGCGGCTGTAGGGGCGCTGGCCACCACCGTTGCTGCTGAAATCGGCGCCATTGCCGGTGCGAAGGACACGAGGGCTGCTGTATTCTTGGCTCCGACCGCCGCCAGTAGAGGGGTAGCTGGGGCTTGTGCCGCCAACAGCGGGGGTGCTACCAGGCTGAGTACGAACGACAGGGTTGTACAGGACGGTGCCGGTTTCCACCGCTGCCAATCATCGACGAGGCATTTGGAAATCTCCCAGATGGCGGCTCTGATGCCATCGGGGGTGCCCTGCACCTCAACGATCCTCTCAGTAGACTGAGGGAGCATCTCCTTCTGTGCCACCATGCGCACACCCGAGACGTCCTGAATGTGCTTGATCTTCAAGCCCTGGCGACCAATGATGGTGCCCATCTGGTTGTGCGAGATGAGGAGCTTGATGGCTGCCGACATGAGTTAGCAATGCAGCGCGCGCTTGTGGTTTCCTGGTCACATACGGTGGGTGCCATTGCTCTGGGGAACGCCGCCCATGCCGAGGGAAGGAGCACCCTCGAGGAGGGCTTGTGCGACAATCGCGTAGGCGCGCGAGATGGCTTCGCAACCGCCAGTAATGGTCAGAACACGGTCGTGGACGCCCTGGACAACCTTGCTGACGCCGGCCTTGACGCCGGTCTCGTCCCTCAGGTCAGCCACGTTCTTTCCTCCTTTGCCGATGATGACACCGGCCTCCTTAGAGGAAACGATGGCGCGAAGAGTGAGCTGCGCCTGGGCGTACTCCTCCTCGGTCTTAGGCGCAGGCTCGCCGTCTGGGCCGAGGCGCTCGCCATCGTCGAGCTTGAGCTGGTCCATCTGGGGAACGAAGTCGTCGCCGTTGGAAGGGATATCCTGGGAGGACATTGTCGCAGAGGTAGTCGTGGGGTATTTTAGTGCGGAGAAAGCACGAAGATGCAGTCGAGATGTTGCTCGGCTGGTGATTCGGCTGAAGCGTGTCAGTCAAAAGCGCATCAAGTCTTCGCACAAATGCACTGGCGGTGAGTTGAAAGATCTAGCGAGGTTGAGTGGGGTTTGCGAAACAGGCAAAGCGAACACTCGGGGCTGTGGAAACTACGCGCCCGTCGCAAAATGCGACCGCGACACGTGGGGGAGGGGAAATTCGGGCTTGCAGATCGCTGAAAACGCGCTGCTGCAGTCAAGGAATTCGCAGGAGGTGGGGAATTTGACCAAAGGGATCAAAGGGAGGAATCTGAAGCGTGAAAGAGGGGTCTGCACATACAGTTTCGAAGTTCAAAGACTTGTATGGTTGTTGCTTGAGCTTGTCGTGAGCGTCTTGGTCGAAGGGAGGCGTTGGAGGCGGGGGTGGATTTTGTGAGGCGCTGTGTTTTTTTTGTCAGTCCCTCATCGAAATTGTGGTGGTGAGGTAAGGCGAGGCGCGGGAAGACGAGACAAGGGGAGGTAAGGTAGGCGACTTGAAATGGCGGGGTTGGGGGATCCTCTAGCTGGGGATCGGGAGGAATGAAGCGTGTTGCAAAGGCAGATGTGAGGTAGGGGTCAGGAAGTGCGGGCACTTTGGCTTGTTGCTGCAAGACGAGAGGGAGAGAAGGGGGGGTACCATCGCCCACCGTTGCGGCCGTTGGGAGATATATGGGTAAGAAGGGAGGTGTCCGAGGCTGCCGTAACAGCGGGCACTTGTTGGTGTCGGTAGACAAAAGGCCAGGGGATGATCGTGGACAAAGGGCAAGGCTATCTGGACGCTTGGAGATGGGATCGGCTCTTGGACGGATGGGATATCACTCACAAGTGATTGTGAAGACAAGGAGGAGGCGCACAGAAGAGGCGTGAGAGGCGTGTCAGGTGAAGAGGGCGCCGAGAGATGGGTGATGGAGGGGGAGGAGGGGGAGGGCGGAAGAGAGGTGGTGTTGGAGATGGACCGGGTGATGGTGAGAAGATGTGAGGTGAGGTGAGAAGGTAGAAGATGGGGAGTTGTGCGCGGCGGTGGTGGGATGAAGAAGGTGAAGAAAGTGGGGGGGGGGAAGCAGAGCACCGCAGTGCTATTGGCGTCTTAGTAAAAGCCTGCCCACCGTTACTCCTGTCGTTGTGCGCGCTGTGGTAGCTGCCCGCATGGCACTCCGTCCCCGCCCGCAACAGTGATTGATACAGAGGGCAGAGGCATGGATGGTGGGTTGACCACTGTGCCTTCCCTGTCCATCAGCCATACCAGCCTAGTGGCAGGCCCCCCCCCGGCAGCTTGCCGTACCTACCCACTTTGTCTCGAACCTGCCCACCGGAGGCGTCTGCCAGACATGCTGCCGCCCACACGCACGGGTGGCTCTTGCCGAGGCGAAGGGTCCATTGACGAGGGGCTTACTGGAACCTGGGGAGGATGTACGACTGCACTCTCTCTTGATCCTCAATATGTGATTAGAAAGCACAGTCAGAAGTTGAAAAGTGAACCGCTTCCTTGGGCCGGTTCTTTGCGCTTCGTGCTTCTTCCCGTTCATTGCGACAAAGAGAACGAAATGTTCCGGTACGGCCAGGTGATGGTTGCAGGGTACATAGACGGCAGGTACAACTCGGCATAGTGGGCGAGATGGAACAGTACCTACCCGCCCCACTCAGTTGCTCCTCGCCATGTCACTTTCCCACCACTACTGAGCGAGACTAGACGGAAAGTACATTTATGTAGTAGGAGCACTCTGGGTACGATGTTTCCTGCCCCTCCTGCCAGCGCATTGCATGGTACCTGGACCTCTGATGCCCCCTCCCTCGCTCGTGGCTCCTGCATTCCAACGCCTGGGCCACTCAACGTGCCTGACTGTCTCGGCAGTCGCATGGGTCGGCTCAACCCTAAAAGTGCCAATGACAGGAATAGAGGTTGAAGCAAGCCTTTTCAGTGCCAGTGATGCCTAGAGGCTAGGTCAATGCAGCGCCGTTTTCGATCAATATAGCTCAGCCTCAGGGCTGTTTTGAAAGACTCCCAGGTACTCTATCTGGTCTAATGGCCTCAAAGGACGTCCAGGTAGAGAAAATACAGCCAGCAACCAGGTGTCTGGTCAATTATTGGTCCCGGGCTTGCTATAATATCTACGCCGGCCATGATGGTGACTAATCCCTTGACCTGGCAAGGCCCGGATTGTCGGAGCATGCTGACAAGTATGACGAGCCACTTGAACACATTGATGGAGTTTGCAACTGCACCGCCTAGGTGTTCGTCAGATTTGTTTACGAAAAAAAGAACTACAAATTCCCGCGCGCCCTTCATCGTTGGCGAAGTTGTTTCTCATGCTCAGTCCAAAAGTTCTTGCATGCCCGGTGTCCCCAGTGGTCAACCCACCACTCACCAAAGCTATCTTCGACATCGAAGTCCACCTTGCCTACCCTCTCGTCACGCTTCAAGCCACACACTATACAAGCCTTAGGAGCCGTCGGAACGACTTTGGCCGTGGTCACAGCCATGTTCTCCGCCAAGTCTGGTACTCTCAATTGCTGTCCGCCTGGTGCTGACTTGGCTGCCGCAACTGCTGACCGTAGCCGGCCGACATGCTCTTTCCACACATCAACAACGTCAGCGGCCTCGCGGTCTTCGCGAGCCGTCTGCGCGCGATCTACGCCGGCGAGCTTCATGCCCTTTGCGCCGGCGCTGGAAATGGCCATACCTTGGGCAAGAAACTTGTCGCGATGCCAGCGCAGTTTGCGGCCTGCGATAATGCGTGCAGCAACCGCGGCAAGGGCAAGGTACCCCTGGAGAAAGATAATTGTGCCTGGGTCGGAGGCGATGCGGTCCTTGATAGACGTTGGCTGAGAGGCGGCTGGCTTGAACAGGCTCGTATTGGCGAGGGCAAGAAGCTCAGGGAATATGGAGAGCAGCACTGAAGGTGGTGGTATGTTCGTGGGAGGAGTAGCATCACTACCACTGGTGTTCGCGTTCTGAACCTTGCGCGCTGTGTTGGCCGTAGTTTTGACAGCAGGCTTGGAAGACGACGTATTGACTCCATCGACAGCATCCCAATCCCAACTCTCAGGAAGTTCTTTGGAATCGATGGCATTCTTCTGCTGGCCGGGCATTGGGGAGAAGTCTTCAAACGGTGACCAATGGTCGTTCGGGTTAGCGGCTTCATTGCTCTGGCTTTGACCCTCCTTCTTTGGAGACGTTTGGCCGAAGGCTGGCCATGCCGTCACAGGGGTTGGGCTTTCAGGGTTGTTGGCTGGTTCATTCGGAAAGTTGGGCGACGTGGGAGTCTTCAGAGCCAAACCAGGGAAAGGGTTTCGGTCGGAGAAAGAAGGTGACTTGGGAGCCTGCGGATAAGTAGAAGTAGATGAAGCGACGCTGAGTGACGACAAGTGAGAGACATGTCTCTTCGGATGAGTAACAGGGGGGTCCTCCAGCGACAAAAGATCCAGTGATGCTAATGACGCTACCTGTGACTGTTGCTCTCGCGGCTGGGGCGCGTTGTGCCAGGGCGGCGATTTCGGGTGATTGTGCCAAGGGGGCGACTTTGGCTGATTGTGCCATGGCGGTGACTTTGGTTGATGCTGCCATGGCTTGCTTGGCTGTTGTGATGAATGCGCAGACATAGTCTCGCCCACTTCAAACTCTCCAAAGTCGTCATCATCATCCACTTCCAGATCGGAGTCTTCTGCATCGAATAAAACGTTTGGGTCTTTGGGCTTCGGCTGCTTGGGTTTGGAAGCCTGAACAACGGCACTCTTGAGAAGAGAAAGAGAAGGCTGGCGTGGGTCACTCTGCCCTTCCACAGGTACCAAACTGTTGGTCATGAGATCCAAAGTTGAAGCGCGGTGGACCCGTGTTCGCGTTGGCGGTGCTGAGATGTTGGCTGACAGTACTGGTGCGGCGATGGGTGGCTCCAGAGCCGGGGTTATTGAAGGCTCCGAAGGCCCTTCAGCGACCTCGAAATCGCCCCATCCATCGTCATCGTCGCCTCCTGCTGCGATCGCTGGAACTGGCGGTCGCGGTTGCTGCTGACTGACTTGTGAAGCTGAGAGTGAGGAAAAGTCACCCCAACCACCAAAGCTGTCAGTTTGGCTCTGGCGCTGGCTCTGGCGCTGGCTCTGGTCCTGGCTCTGAGGCCATGCCTGGGCATGCTGGTTCACTTGAGCAGGCGCATTGCCTGAGGCGAAGAAGTCGAACGGATCCGCCTTTTGTTGTTGCTGGGTAACAGGATGCGGTTGACCTGTCTGCTGAGATTGTTGGCTTTGGGGCTTCGATGAGAAGGTATTAAACTCGGCAAACAGATCGGCACTCATGATTTGCAGCACTTTTCGACATGCTCTGCTTATTTAACTCCAACCCGGGGAACCGTGAGACAATCGTTCAGGGGTTTAACGAGGTGACGTGGTTCATAGAGATGTTCGAGTCCATTGTGGATGGGCTGGCCCAAGCGAGGTCCATCGTCCCAGCCAAGCGGCCAAGCTGACTAAGGCTAGGTGCATGATGAGCTTAAGGATACCACATGAACCAAAGTACTTTCTCCCTGTAGGGCTTTGGTTGGTTTTGACGCCACGGGACTGAAATGATGGGCTGCTTCGATCCTGTTTATGACTTTGAAAACTACATACATGGTTTTGATCCTGTCATTGCACAATTTGATTTCTTTCGTTCTCATCTGTCAAGGCAACATAACAACGTGGTACAGCAGCCTGGAAACTCCCGTGCGATAAGTTTTGGCAGACTCTTATCGAATGCCAAGACGTAGGCATAAATGGGACCTGGTGAAAGACAGCTGAAGCCTCCGGCGGCTCCACGTTGGCGCGCAGACACGCTAACGCGGCTTCAGGCGACCCTCCGAAGCTCCAAATTTTCGACCGCTTAGTTTCTGATGGGCTTCATGCCAAAAGTGTAGTCCCCCTTCAACAATTCCACCCATCCATATTTACGTTCAAGGGCCGAGAAGAGCAATATGCCGCCTCGCACGATGGGCTCACAATGTCTTCTCTGCCAGTTTGCCCTTCGGCCGCGGGCTGCTCTGCTGACGCCTCCTCCAACAACACTTACCCAAGGGTTCGCATCGCAAAGAACCATTCGGGGGAAGCCATCGCGAATGGTTCTATCCGATCGTAAGCAAGTCGCCCGCCCGTCCCCCTTCGGGCTAAATAACGCCAAACCACCGAGAAGAGCCGTTGAGGGCCCGTTTGGTGGCATGAACCAGACACAATTCAGAGGACGCCCAAGCCCGACATCCCGTTCCCAGACACCGACCCAATCCCACAATCGATCCGCCGACCGACGCCGCAGAGATGATCGCGAGGATTTCAGGGCTCTCAAGATGCATCGCGCGCTTGCAGACATTTCGTATCGAAAAAGGACACAAATCAAAGACGAAATGGGCTCGTATGAGTCGTTTGATCAGTTCGACCTGTTGCCATCGGTCAAGAAGGCGCTGTTTGACGACGCTCTCAAGGGCATGATCGACATCAAACCGACTCCTGTTCAGAGACTGGCCATTCCTGCCCTTTTGGGCCAGCAAAGCCGGTTCTTACCTCGGTTCGGAAGGGGCAAGATTGAACAGAGACAGGAGTTCCTCCTCGCGGCCGAGACGGGCTCCGGCAAGACGCTCGCCTACCTGCTGCCCGCCATAAATGCCATCAAGGTCGCTGAAGCAGCGGATCCCGATATTCAGGCTCATAAGAAGAGGCTGGAGGAAGAGAAGGAATGGCAGCGAAACTCCAAGTCGAGATCCAAGATGGAAGAGCCTCACCCTACCATGGCACGGCCCAAGGTTGTGGTACTCGTTCCATCCGCCGAACTCGTCGACCAGGTTGGCGCTGTCGCCAAGACTTTGTCGCACGCTGTCAAATTCAAGTCTGAGAAGCTTTCCGCCAAGCAGAACGCCGAGGTTGTGGAGCGCAACCTATACTCCAACCGAGGAATCGATCTGATCATCGCGACACCGCAGCTGTTAGCCTCCATCGCGGACTCAGACCCTAACATCCTTTCGCAGGTCAGCCATCTCATCATCGATGAGGCTGACTCTCTCTTTGACCGTAGCTTCGCCCCCCTTACCACGAGCATCGTCAACAAGGCGCTGCCGTCGGTGAAGAGGCTCGTATGCTGTTCTGCAACTATTCCTCGAGGCCTGGACAAGTATCTTGCTGCTCAATTCCCCGATATGGTCCGCATCACCACGCCGAACCTTCACGCCGTGCCGAGACGTGTTCAATTGGGTGTTATCGATGTTTCCAAAGACCCGTACCGCAACAACAAAGACCTAGCAACTGCTGATGCTATTCAAACGATTGGCCGCGAGGCATCACGCCACGAGGGCCCTATTAAGGACGAATTCGATATACGCCGTGTCCTTGTCTTCGTCAACGAACGCGAGACTGTGCAACCTGTAGCGGAGTACCTGCAGTCGAAAGGCATCGACGCCATCGCCCTGCACAGGGACACGGCCCAGGAGCGCCAGTCCGCCATGCTCGCGTCCTTTACGAGCGCCGAGCCCATGCGAGCACCCGCCTCTGACAAGGCCCCCACAGGCGGGCGCAAGCTGCCCAATGTGAAGGTTATTGTGGCCACGGATCTGGCGTCGCGAGGTATTGACACGTTGGCTGTCCGTCACGTCATCCTGTACGACGTACCTCACACCACCATTGATTTCATCCACCGACTTGGAAGGGCCGGCCGGATGGGTCGTCGTGGAAGGGGTATAGTTCTGGCTGGGAGCAAAGACCGGAAGGACGTTATCGCAGAGGTTAAGCGTGCAATGTTTATGGGCCAGGCGCTCATCTAAAAACACGCTGGGCGCGTATGTAAGATTATCTGCTGTATACCTCCTGTATCATCTTGTATTTCTTTAATCATGTCACATAGACTTCGGCGCTGATCAGGGTCTGGAGGCACAAAAAAAAAGTGTACACATTTCCATCGAATGGCAGTCAATAAGCTTACTGCGACACTCTCTATTGGATTCCTGGCTTTGCGATGTGCAGCTTGCACAAACAAACAAGGGATAAGAAAAGCCGTCTAAAGGGGCAGCCAGGAGTCATCTTACACTTTGACTCGTTAAAGACCAGCCGATCTTGATTGTTAACCGAGGTGTGTCGATTCTGAATCTTGTCGACTCGAACACCACCGACGTTGGCTGACGGCCGTCCGGCATTCCAGTGCGTAACAAATAATTCTCATGACGATAGTGTAAGGATATACATGCATGTGAAGAAGTGGTCGTCATTGATACTGTGATAAAGCCGGGGTTGGTGGCCTGGGTGTATGAGTGTGGCGCGAGCTTGAGTGGGGCTTGGCATTCGGAGTCGTGGCGCGACGCGTCTCGTGTTTCTCCCACCATCGCGAACATTAACACCCACCCAGCCTTTCTCCCCCGACACACAGTTGCACCGCGCGCACTTTCTCTTGTATCAACAAAACACGCCACTATCCCACAGGCTCGGGACTTCATTGTCTGCGTAGTAAGACTGAATTTTCTGGCCCATCGTAATTTGAACACATCTACGTCCCAACTTTCGGCGCAGCATGCCACGCCCCACGCGATCACGTCGCGCTCCTGCTCGCGCTGCTGCAGCACCAGCCAAACCCGTGGATGCGCCCGCACCTGCGCCCGCTTCCGAAAAGTCCAGCGACGATATCTACAGCCACAGCGACCGCGAACACGAGCGCCTGAGGGCGGTTCGATCAAATGTCACAGCGAGTGGGAAGAAGGCTCTACAGAAGACGAGCCACGACCGCGACCTCGCCATGCAGAGGTTAGCTGGCGAAGACATGTCGACCTCTTCAGGGAATGCAGTCGTGTCATCAGAAGATGCTCAGGTTGAACTTGGGAGGAAGGAGCACGCGACGCCTGCCCAGCAGCGACGCGACCTAACGGGCTTGGAGCTGGACAGTGAGATGTTCAACGCGCTCGACGATAGCCTGGGTCTAGACGAGAGCGAGATCCCCGGCAGCGTTACGGCCAGCGGAAACCGGTCAACAAATACTTCGAGTTTGTTTGGAATGGGCCACAAACGCCGTGGCCGCACCCCTAGCATCAGCCTTCAGGGCAATGATGCGCCAATCCGACCGCCGAGCCGAGGTGTGGGCGCAACGCCAGTCATAAGCTCTTCTTTCAACATTGGCGCGTTCAAGAGGCGAGCACGTGAGCCAAGTATTTTGGGGACTGCGCAGAAGGCGCGCGCACCGAGGCCTTCTGACGACTCTTCGGATGTCGACGATGATCAGGAGGGGACCGGCGCACATGACGAAGATGACGGAGAGGTATTTGCGCCAGAGGCAGAGTCCACGCCGTTGAACCGGCGCGAGGTGCAGCAGTCGATTGAGAAGGACCTCGGTCAGGAGCCCGATGTCACATCAAGCGTCAAGTCCCGCAAGCGCAAGAGCATGGACGCTCAGAACACTAATGACCGTCCCGAAAAGTCATTGCGCCTCGACGAACCAACCGAAAGCAACGTTCCAGAGGACATTGGCGACGAGGCCGTAGAAGAAAGCGATGACGATTCAGACCTCAGCTCCCTATCGTCAATGGCCTCGCCAGTGCTCCCAGCATTGGCCCGCCCAGTTACGCCCTTCGACGAAGAGATCATGGCACCGCCGATGAGCAGCGGGTCAGAGGACGAGCCATGGCCAGATATTCACAACCTTGCCAAACGACGCCGCCACCATGCGCCCATAACCCCCACTCGCGCTGGCGATACTTCTGATGCCTCATGTCCCCCGTCTCTTACGCACTCACCCAATTACCGAGATGCGCGGCAAAGAAAATCGCAAAAGCAAGGAAAGGGCCAGAAAGCATCTGCACAGGTGACAACTGCTGATCTAGCCGGCCTGCTTCCCCGCCGCCGGCGACGGAAGGGAAATGATGCAGAGTCTGACTCTGAGGTTGATAACTCGGGCCTGGGCCAAGATGACGATGAGCTCTCATACCTTGATGCCAGGGCATCTCGAAGACGCGCACGGACGACACCGCTCAAACGAAGCTCAACCAACCGTCCTGCTTCACGTAGCACCAGAGCTGTGGCGGCGACGGCAGATGCCCCCGCTGCTCGCAGGCGGACATATGGTCGTCGATCGTCAGACAAGGAGAACACAGATGATGAGGAAGAGGAGGGCAGTTTCAGTCCAGCACCCGACGACACGTTCGATGCAACGCCCGAAGAAGGAGACGTCACTGGAGCAGATGAGTTGAAGAATGCTGTGACCAAGTTCAAAGAAGTCGACCAATGGGAGCTCGAGTTCGAGGAGTTGACCCAAAGCTCGTCTCCGAGCGGCGCGCGGTGATGGGTAGCTGGGAATTGAGTCGATGCGCTCACCTGATTGGGGGGTTTTCAAGGTTTATGAAGAGTGAAAGATGTATGGAGTGAGTTGTTGCCTCAGATTCTGCAACAACGAGGCCGGATGGATGTATAGGTGGCTTGCCGGTGATTTTCGGTTTTTGTGGGCGGTGGATGATTTCTGTTTGGAGACGGAATTTTTATATGCCTACAAGTCTGCGATTCGCGGCCGAGGCACACATGAGCGTATACAACCAGGCATGAATCCGTTCAGTCCTTGTTGATCCTTCCATTCGTGATTCGAAGTAAGCAATTACGCCCAAACCCTGGGAACGCCGTTCAACGCCAGACAATGCCTTGAGCCCAAAATAAACCCATATCAAGACAGCTTGACCTCTCAATCTCCGGCCCACTGTCGGGAGCAGAGTGGACAGTAAGTTTGCATCTCTGAGCGCGATCGTTATGTCATCTGGTAGCCTGCCAGACATGAACAAGGACTGCGTCACATTCGTTAGTTGCCACGCTCCGAATATGTTCGCACGACCGACTTACTCTCTTGACATTGGCCCAGCTGTCCTCCTTTGCCGTATACTCGCGCAGCACATAGTCCCCTGCGAAATCCACGTATACCCTCGTGTCGCGAATACGCACGAGCACGTTATCCAACCGCATAAAAAGCCGGCACAACAGCAGCATGCGCTGCTCGTGCACCCGTACCTTGACACTGAAGATGGAAATGCCATTGTCGTCAAGCTCCGACTCGTACAGCATGACCTCGTCAAAGAAGAGGATAGGGTCTCGGCGTTTCAGCAACTCGAGCGGGATCTCCTTCGTCGTGGGCTGGAATGCCTGCGCGCCCGCGGCGAGCGTCCCGTCGTAGTCGGTCGAGTAGCTCCAGTCATACGGCTTGACAACTTCCTTGATACCGGCGCTTGTCTTCTCCCGACTGCTGGACCAGTCGCGGGCGTACGCGACCTGCAGCATGTTCTTCTCCGTCTTGTCGACGTGGTCGAGGGCGTCATAGGCGTTGAAGGCGAGAGACCAGCCCGAGGGCGCGTGCGTCAGGGAGACGAGGTTGTCGCCGAATATCATCTCGGGAACGGGGATGCCGAGACGTTCTGTCATTTCGTCAATGGGCCCCGATTTGGAGATGGGCAGCTTGCGGGTCGCGATGCGGAAGCGGCCCTGGGGGTGGGTGGATGTCGCAGCGTCGACGGCGCCCTGAATGGACGGCGTCGGGAAGGGTTCATTGATAGCAGTGATTGGGTTCATGACTGCGCCTGGTTCGAGAGGGTTACGAGAGAGGTGTCAAAAGACTGATCGTGTTTTCGATCGTGTTGTTGCGATGTTTGAAATCGAGACTACCTTCACGTTTGCAGCTATGGAGCTTGACGAGCTTGGTAGTGGGGTTTGGCGGGGAAGCATGAGACCCCTGTTTGCCGACTCACTGTAGGTGGCGCACGAACGCTGACCGAGCTAGTAGCCACTCTACCTCGAGTTTTATCTGATTGAATACCACCATGGGGCAGACTGATGGTCTCTGTCACACAATGCTACTCCTAATACCGTACTACGTCCAGCTGATCAGTATGATGGCGCAAACGTGGGGTCATCTCGGCAGCCTTGTCATCGATGGGCATGGAGAGACCCCGATGGCCGATTTCTGGTCTTTGGAGTCAAGAGATCTCGGATTAGGAGAGGAGAAGATTGGATGACAACAGAATTCAATGATTGAACACGATCGCCGAGTCCTGCCTATCTTGGTCAATGCGCAGGATATTATGAGCACCACGAGTTGCCCAAGCCTACGTTTTGTTTGATCTGGGCATTGCAGTGCCCTCTGAAACTTAGTGAAGTCCCTAGGTTTACCACTGGGTTCCGAATGCAGACTGTCAACATCATCTGGCAGAACAAGCATACCTTCGTGTTCATCGACCAAATGATCCGAGTGAATCAGCTAAACTCTCAGCTGGCTCTGTGTCATAGACCTGCAAGGACCTCGGCTGACGCAGCGGTTTGAGGTAGGAGCTCACTTCATGGCAATCATTTGTGAGACCTCGTCAGAGCTCGGCTGGTCGATGAAGACAACTTTAGAGGTAGCACTGCGGCGTTTGCGTCACGGGCAGAGATAAAGAGTGAATCTGAGCCAAGTCACTCTTGATAAGATGCAAGGTGAGGTCTGGCCTACAACGGCCTAGTTGGCAGCCGCAGGGGATCCCCTATGCAGCAGGTAGTTTATCCTCCCTTCGCAACTAGAGGTATCGATGTGCAGGGCGCACTGCGATGAAGTTGTTTATGTTGCAAGGAGGTAATAAGGGATGTCTTAACCATCGAGTGGGTGAAACGGAGTGGGGGCGTGGTCTGGCGACTGGGTTACGGAATGGGCACACGTGACACTGTCACCCCGGCAACCACACCAAATCGAATGTTTGGGGCCGAGTAGTGAAGGCACCCTGTATAACTCCGCTACGGACGATGGCTGGTGTTAGCTCTCTCACCTCTACCTAGTCGCAGTGCCGCCCTCAAATACTAACCCACAGGTCCAGGACGTGAGTGCATCTGGCTCAGGTCTTCGAGTGATTATCTCCCACCAGAGTTGTCTTCCCTGCCAATCGAAGCCATGGCCACTCGAACGCTCGAGGCTCGATTCGAGCACATGACGGTGAACGACGAGAACGATTCTGGCGATGGTACCAAGATCTACTCAAAGCAACAGGTAAAGTTCACGGTAGCTTGGATTGACTCCATATACTGACACGATGTCTTCTAGGCTGTTGCATCTGTCAGAACCTCCCAACTGCCACAGAGCTCGAGCCGAGCCAACCTCTTTAAGGTCGCCCTGCAGTCCCAAAACACCAACACCGTTGCCTCCGTAACGCTTCCTTCGCAAGCAGCACAGCGAAAAGCCCACAACCCAACATCTCCTCCCCGCAAGCCCCTCCCTTCTTCGGCTGCATCACGCTCCGATGAGGTTGTCGAAGTCGAACGCAAGGCGGTGACCATGGTCGCTGAGCCCAGCATCCCGAAGCAGTTCCACCTGGGCATGTTCGAAATCGGCCGTCCCCTGGGCAAAGGCAAGTTCGGTCGCGTCTACCTCGCCAAGGAGCGCACTACCGGCTTCATCTGCGCGTTAAAGGTTCTGCACAAGAACGAGATTCAACAAGGCCGTGTCGAGAAGCAGGTGCGACGGGAAATTGAGATTCAAAGCAACCTGAGGCATCCCAATATTCTCCAGTTGTACGGGCACTTCCACGACAGCAAGCGAGTCTTCCTCATCCTCGAATTCGCCGGCAAGGGCGAGCTTTACAAGCATCTTCGTCGCGAGAACAAATTCCCTGAGTGGAAGGCCGCCCAGTACGTAGCGCAGATGGCCTCGGCGCTCCGTTATCTCCATCGCAAGCACGTCATTCACCGGGATATCAAGCCTGAAAACATCCTCGTCGGTATCCACGGCGAGCTCAAACTTTCTGATTTCGGCTGGAGCGTGCATGCGCCCAACAACCGACGCAACACCATGTGCGGAACTCTCGATTACCTTCCTCCCGAGATGATCAAGCCCGGTAGCTCAGACAACTACTACAATGAAAAGGTTGATCTGTGGAGTCTGGGTGTGCTCATGTACGAGTTCCTCGTCGGTGAGGCGCCTTTTGAGGACTCGCCCGTCATGACACAGCGGAGGATTGCGAGGGCCGACATGACGGTGCCCTCCTTTGTCAAGCCCGGAGGCAAAGGACTTGATCAAGAGAGTGAGTGTTCATCACGTCCCGGAACCCCGATCACTGCTAACCGATTGAAAGCTTTTGGTTCTCGATCCCGATAAGAGGATTCCCCTCGAGCAGGTTCAGAGCCACCCTTGGATTGTCAAACACTGCATCAAGGGTGAGCGGGCGGCCAACCGCGAGAAGTACTCGACTTAATGAGATGATGAATTACGCACCAGCCGGCCACATAAAGACGAGGGTAAATAGTCTGTCCGGATTGATGTAGGATAATGGCGTTATGGAGGAGTCAGTCGTGCGAGTTTTCATTGGCAGTGGCCAGGGATCCAGGATCAACGGATTGGTTTGTGCATATTCTTTTGGGGAGTTGGGTTCGTTACTTTCGCACTCTGCATACAATAATCCAGAGAGATCTTCATTACACTCACATCAATGCCTGCCTGTCCGCCAAAACTCGTCCGTGGTATCACCTACATGATATGGTACAATCTCACCCTTCCTCCTCGAGTCAAGCCATCACCTGTAAATCTCGTCGAACGGCCTGGTGTCGGCGAAGCACGAGTCCCAAACCTGGTTGACGACCTTCGTCGCCTGGACATCGTCCTTGCATCGCGGCCTGTTCATGACAGACTGGATAGCCCTCGACCGCACGCAATCCTGAAAGCCCTGTGACAACTTCCAGTTTCCTCTGGTAAATGTTTCCCTGGTCCACCTACACTCGCCGCTAAGCATTGACGCTCGAATCTGCGCCTCGTCAGCATTGTCACAGGTTGCACATGTCCACGCATAGTTCTTGGGGTTCTCATACCTCTGTGCAAGCAGCATGCTTCAGCTCCATGTCACCCAGCCAGTCGACCTGCCACCTCAGGTGGTCCCAGGCGTGCACCATCTCGTGCGCCAGCGTGTCTTCCAGATGTTTCCGATCGCGCATCTCGTTGGCGCAGATCAGGATGCCGTGCGCCGGGCTGAAGCCGCCGCTCTGGCGATGGACCTCGCCGTCTTCGGTCAGGCGGGCCGGGCAGCGGCGGCAGACGACATTTGTCTCGTCGAGGGTGCCGTTGAGGGACTCGATCTTCTCGCGCATGAAACGAATGGTCGGGGAATAGGCGAAGAGCCAGTCGCGGTCAGCCTCAACGCGGCGGATGTCGCGCTCCTCGTTGACGCGGTAGCGGTGCTCGCGGTAGTGGAACTGGCCCTCACGGGTCATGTTGCCGGTGAGGATGTTGAAGTAGTTGACCCACCACTTCGTCTGGGGGTCGAAACCCGTGCGGGCGGGATCATTGTGGAGGACTCGCGGCTCGGTAGGGTTTGCGGAGGTTGGCGTGGACGAGGAGGGAGTTGGCGGTATCGTGGTGTCGAGCGGCAGGGCAGCGGTTTTGACAGCGCTGGTGGGAGAGGCCATGGTGACGATGCGCGCCTCTGACGAAGAAGAGAATGTCGCGGTATGCCCGAGTGTCAGCAGGCGGTAGGAGAGAGTGTGATTGTCGTATGAGGGCAATGGCAATCCGGTGCCACTTTGTGCGAGACAGTCCGTCGCGATGGTCTGATGCGTTAAACGTCCAGGTCGGGCGATGGTGGATGGTGATCAGTGATGGATGGAGCCTGTCGTGCCTGCGTGGTTCGTCGATTCTCTGCCAGCGTACCCGCTCCCCTGGTCAAGCCCTTCAGCAGTACATGGGCCTAAGAAAGGTACCTTAAGGGTGGGGCGGAGGCCCGGCCGAAAGGTGGCTTTGGCCGGGCCGGAAGTACCTTATTGACGGTGGACGGGGCCCTCATGCACGGCCCTGGGTCCCGGGCGGGCTTCCCAGTTTTCAAGCGGTGAGACGGCACACTTAGGGGCGCTCTAGGCGCGGAGAACAGCCTGGGCAAATGTCGTCAGAGGCTTTTAGTGCGCACTTTCGGTCTTTAGGTGCCTTTTCGAACTGACAGTGATGCAAAGCTTCGGGAGGGTCGGGGTCGTCCAACCGATGTCTCCCCCCCCCCCGATGTCGGTCCACTTTTGGCTCTTCACCAATCCAAGAGGCTCGCTGGACAACGCTGACTCAAAAACTGCGAAAACGCCAACCCTGACGTCTGCCGCCTTGCCTGCCTTGCCTGCCTTGCCTGCCTCACCCGCCTTTGCCTGCCCCCCCCAAGAAGCCTTGCTGGGCCAAAGGGAACCTGGGGAATCGACACACCAAGACGTCCCCTGATCCATCCTCCTGCATATCACTACCACCGCAAACAAGGACTTGATCGCACTTGACTGGACCGACCATGGCGAACGAAAGTGGCACTGCATGTAAGAAGCCTTCGCCGTGGATTCATACTTAGATGCGATGTTTTCGGTTTCTGCTTCTCCGCTCCTTTGGGTTTCCTGCCTTTCTGCGCCTTCATTTCACTTCATTTACATGGATTTGTCGTCGTTTCTGGTCTTGTTCTTCGCGCCTTGACTTGCTTCCGCGCGCCAGTATATGCATATACGTATTCGTCTTTCACTGACTGGAGATATTCGTTGTAGCCATGAGGGGCATCAAGCCATTGACGGTTGTCCTCAAGCTGGGTAAGTGCCGCCCTCGCGTCCTTTCACATGCCACTGGTCGCTGACCCGGTGAAACTCCAGGAACCAGCTCTATTGTCGACGAGGAAACTCACCAGCCTCTTCTGTCCATACTGACGCTCATTGTTGAGACGGCCATCAAGCTGAAGAAGGATGGCCATCGCGTGATCATTGTTTCTTCCGGCGCCATCGGCGTCGGTCTTCTTCGTATGGAAATGGATCACAGGCCAAAACACCTGTCGGCATTGCAGGTATGTCGCTCATACGTCAGTGGAGAAGTGATTCGAGACACCACCTAACAGCTCTTTACAGGCCTTGGCAGCAATTGGCCAATGCAGGCTCATTAGCCTCTGGGACAGTCTGTTTATGCACTTCAGGCAACCGGTGGCACAAATCCTTCTCACGAGGAATGACATTGCCGATGTAAGTCGTCCCACCCCCCTTGTCAGCCTCGGAGTCAGCGTCTGACATGTCTGTTAGCGGACAAGATACACCAATGCGCAAAACACGATGAATGAGCTGCTCGGCCTTGGTGTCATTCCCATCGTCAACGAGAACGACACCATTGCCGTGTCAGAAATCAAGTTTGGCGACAATGACACGCTATCCGCTATCACTGCCGGCATGGTCCATGCCGATATGTTGTTCCTCATGACCGATGTCGACTGTCTGTACGACAAGAACCCCCGGACACATCCCGACGCGAAAGCGATTGAGATTGTGGAAGACATCTCGACTCTCGAGGCAGATGGTAAGTTTGTTTGTGCACCCCTTTGCCCATTTGTCAGTTCCCAAAACTGATCGGACAGTTTCCGGTGCCGGTTCCTCGCTCGGTACCGGCGGCATGATGACCAAAATCATCGCCGCCCGCCTCGCAACCTCTGTTGGCGTCACAACTATTGTCACTCGCTCTTCAAATCCTGGCAACATCCTTGAGATCGTCCGGTACGAACACGCTGCTCGAAATATTCTGCAAGCCGCCAACATCCCCAACCAAGACGACGAAGAGGGTATGGAGGAGTTCCTCGCCGCCTCCACAGCCTCCATCCAGCTCGACAATCTCGAGAAGCCTCCGCTACACACCTGCTTCCTGCCGTCCGCAGAGCCCATCCACGATCGCCACTTCTGGCTCCTCCACACACTGCGTCCCAACGGCACGATTTACATCGATGCAGGGGCCCACAGTGCCCTCCTTCGCAAGGCAGGTCTCCTTCCCGCAGGTGTCCTTGACGTAGAGGGCAGCTTTGCCCAACATGAGTCAGTCCGCCTCGTCGTCGTGGACCGTCTTCACGTCCCCTCCCCTACAGGTCGCATCTGGGGCGGCAACCCCACCGAGGTCGGCCGTGCCCTGGTCAATTACGCGGCGCACGAGGTCGGTCGTATCATGGGCCATCAGAGCGCCGAGATTCAGGGCCTCCTTGGCTATGCCGACAGCGAGTACGTGGCTGAACGCCAGCACATCAGTCTCTTCAGGCGGGAGAGCCGGCCCCAGACGCCGAGTTTCGAGGTCGTTAAGGAGGTTGCCGAGACTCTGGGCGCGGGCATCTCAGGGTACGAGGCACGAGTGTAGATGCAGTTTTGGGGGCGTATAAGGTATCTCATTTTCAAAAAAGCGCGAAAAGCTGTATGTCGCATTTCTACGGGGTGGATATCACCTAGAGATTTTCTTTACGTCAAATACCTTGTTCAGTTAGGTATATACGGTGCAGCCTCGAGCCCACGACGAGGAGAGTGTCTAGTGCTTGCAGGGAAGAGGGAGTGCATTACACACCCTGCAGTTCTTCAACAGAATCTGTGCCTCACGGCTTGCACTTATATGAGATGACCTGGGTTCTGGCCAAAAGTCTACTGGTTGATGTCTTGTTTTCTGTTCCGTTGTAAATTTGTTCGCATCTCGCGTGGTCGACAGCCATGTGGTTCCGTTCCAACGTGAGAGAAACATGAGATGAAATTTGAGCCTCGCACAAGAGGATAATCCTCCCCGCCTGTTTTCGACGCCCCGAACGCCTGCCATGCTACAACAAAGATGAGATACTCGGTTCCACATTTCCGCTCTGAAAAAGGTCTGCGTCGTGGATTGCCCCGCTTAACCGGACGAGAAGAGCGTATCTTCGTCGCGAACGTACTCGCCGCAATCGGCCTGACGAAAGGCGACGATGCCGGTAGGGTCGAGGCGTTTGGCGTCAGCGGTACTGCGGGCAGTGACGCCAAAGGCGATGGGGACGTCGGCCATGTTGTAGAAGACGATGCCGGCGTGCTCGGGGATATCGTCGGTCCAGCGACCGACGTGCGCCTTCACACCTAGGAGCAGGTCAGCACAGGCGCGACGGGGCTGGGCATCACAGCGAAGGGAGTGGGCTCTTACAGTGGCTACCGTACAGCAGGGGCATCTCGCCATTGGGCTTAACCCAGAGCTTGTAACGGGCGTGCTCGGCCAGGATAGGCAGAGCTGTGATGTGAAGCTTGAAGGAACCCTTCTTTGTGAACTTGCCTACAATTCATGAGATCAGTCTTTGCGCCTCTGCTAGGACTGCCTGGCCTGTTGGCAGCGGGAACAGCGACTCACCAAGACATGTGCCGATGGACAGCAGCTTCGCTCGCTCAATACTGACGGCGAGGTTCGCGATCGAGAGAAGGACGTAGTAGACGCGGTCCTTCTGCAGACGGAGGACATATCGGTCACCTTGATGCGGCGCATTAGCAGACGGCCCCAAATCGCACAGAGGGAGCAGGCGGGGTTACCGTTGTCGAGCGGCTGGATCAGCTGCTTCAGCGAGCCACCAGTGTAGTTGGCCAGCTTGGCGAAGACCTTCTTGGTCTCTTCTTCCACGAGGGGCCTCATGATTGCGCTTGTCGGGGTCTATTGTATCACGGGCGGTCGGTCGTGAGCTGCAGGCAGAAATGGCAACCAATGGATGGCGCTTCCAATCGGTAGCGATGGTAGAGCGGCAGAAAATCGAAAAATTTCGGGCGGTGAGGGTTGCGACATGCGCTCAAGGCTTATCGATACTGCGAAGCTGGTGCACTTGCAGCTCCCCGCCCCTCCACCGAAAGCTCCGTCCCTATAGTGCGGTGCGCTTACATAACGATCGGTGGTCGGCCCTGCGAGGCCCCGACTTTAGGCAGGGGTCCAGCGGATTTTGTTTGGCGGGACAGGGAAAAATTTCAGTTCGATTGAGTCGAGAGCGCTGCGAAGCTCAGAACATCGGATCGCAAGCAAGTCGACGACCCGGCACCACAGTACACCATGACAACACGAGCTCCCAAGAGGCGAAAGCTGACGCCTCACCCAGAGGATGAGGTCTCCTCGGGGCCGTCTTCCAAAAAGATTCAAAAGGCGTTCATCAAGAACGCTGCAGGCTGGAACCTCGAACAAGACTACGAAAACCGACCTCGAAAGGGGAAGAAGGCTAAGAAGGAGAGCACGAAACTGCCAATTAAAACGGCCGACGGACGCCTGGAGCAGTCGAATCTCCTGGAAGAGGATGACGATGCCGAATCCATCGACAGCGACATTGAGGTCGACGAAGATGTCGTTGCATCGTCCCCCGAACCCGAGGCGCCCAAGCCCGACGAACCTGTGATACCCGATCGCGAGCAGATCTTCGCTGCCCAGGAGAAGCTCGCTAAGTTTGCCGCCGACATGAGCGAGGACCCGGAGGAGCACTTTGGCGCATTCAAAAAGGCCATGGCTGAGTTCGCCACATCCAAGATCATGTCCATCCAGAAGCTCGCCCTCGTCACCCAGATGGCTGTGTACAAGGACATCATTCCCGGCTACAGGATTCGTCCTCTTGCCGAGAAGCAGCAGAGCGAGAAAACGTCCAAGGACGTGGAGAAGCTCCGTGTCTACGAGCAGTCTCTCATCAAGGGCTACCATGCCTACATTCTGCAATTGACCAAGAATGCGAAGGCTGATTTGCCCTCGTCCCGACGAAAGGGCCAGAGCATCTCCAGCATCAGCATCATGTGCGCTTGCACCCTTCTCAATGCTGTCCCACACTTCAACTTCCGTACCGAACTCCTCAAGATCATCGTAGGAAAGCTTAGCAAGCGTATCGTCGACGCAGACTTCAACCGGTGCCGTCGCGCCCTCGAGGTACTCTTCCGCGATGACGACGAGGGCCACCCCTCCCAGGAAGCCGTCTCTCTACTCTCCAAGATGATGCGCGCTCGCGACTACAAGGTGGACGAGGCCGTCGTTAACCTTTTCCTCCACCTGCGTCTGCTATCCGAGTTCGGCGGTAAAGCTTCACACGAGAGGGTGGATTATGAGGACCCCGAGTCACTGAAGGCCAAGCAACAAAAGAAGATGGAGCGCAAAAAGTTTATCAACAAGCGTGAACGCAAGGCCATGAAAGAGCAGAAGGCCATCGAGAAGGATATGGAGCAGGCTGACGCCCTCGTCAGCCACGAGGAGCGCGATAAGATGCAGTCTGAAACGCTCAAGCTCGTTTTTGCGACCTATTTCCGCATCTTGAAGATCCGGGTCCCCCATCTGATGGGCGCTACCCTCGAAGGCCTCGCCAAGTACGCACACCTCATCAACCAGGACTTCTTTGGAGATCTCCTCGAGGCTCTCAAGGACCTGATTCGACACGCCGAGGAAGATGCCGAAGGCGAAGGCGACGAGGAGAACCCCGAGGATGAGGAGGGCGATGAGGGCGACGAGTCTGAATCCGTCCGTAACACCTCCCGCGAGGCCTTGCTCTGCATCGTTACAGCCTTTGCGCTCCTTGCCGGCCAAGACGCTCACAATGCCCGCTCAACCCTCCACCTGGACCTCTCGCACTTCACGACCCATCTCTTCAAATCCCTCTACCCCCTATGCCTGAACCCCGACATTGAGCTCACCTCCCACTCCCTCCACGCCACCGACCCCAATGCCAACTCCAGCACAGCCTCGTCAACACCATCTGGCTCCAAGGACGACGGCCCCAAGATCAATCTCCAGACCACGACCGTCCTCCTCCTCCGCTCCCTCACCGCCGTCCTCCTCCCCCACTGGAACATTCGCTCCGTGCCGCCCCTGCGTCTGGCCGCCTTCACTAAGCAGCTCATGGCCGCCGCCCTGCAAATGCCCGAAAAGTCCATCCAGGCTGTTCTTGGCCTGCTGCAGGACGTGACACATACGCACGGCAAGAAGATCTCAGCCCTGTGGCGCACAGAGGAGCGCAAGGGCGACGGCACGTTCAATGGACTTAGCGACAGCATTGAGGGTAGCAACCCCTTCGCGTCAACCGTCTGGGAGGGTGAGCTGTTGCGGCTGCACTACTCGCCCAAGGTGAGGGAGAGCATCAAGTTGTTGGAAAAGAGTGTCTCGAGCATATAGCGTCGGTAGCCACGAGAATAAGTTACGATCTTCTACGTCCAGAACTCATTGCACCCATTCGAATCTTTTGCAACATTTGTGAATTCATTTCGTGGTCCTATGGAAAGTCTTTTGTCACGTCTCACCAAGATACGAGTGTCCTGAGGTGCTCAAGCCCATCGAGAAGAGGACAGTCCCTTCTTGACTGCAGGAGCAACCTGGTGGTCTACTCCCATGTATGAGCCCGACAGTTCGACTTGACTGTGGTCGAAGTTGTTGCATTGCTGACCGTCAGCAGTGCGATCTTGTGTCTCCTGGCCATAACCCAAGATAACGTTGTTGTATCCGAAACCCTGATCATACCCATGCCTATTGATGTCTCCGACGCGACCCTGCTTGGCTTCCTTCCAATCACGCTTTCGGACAGACTTCTTTTTGAGGCTGTCGCCGTCACATTCTCTTAAGAGCTCGTCATCCAGGTCCTTATCGACATGGCCATCATCTCGGTTGGCCTTCACAACAATAAGTCCACCGTCGGGGTCGGCATCTGCGGACTCGGCAGTGGCGGGGCAGGCGCCAAAAAGGATAGGATAAGCCTGGGCAGCAAGTTGAATATCAGAGCACTCGACGTCATGGTACCAGAGGAGGACTTGGAGAGCAGCCCGGCGGGTCGCTCCTTGCTGGGCGGATGCGATGACGTACCGGAACAAGGCGTCTTGAGCATCAGCTGCTGTATCTTCGCCTCGAATGTCGTTGTACTTAGAAGCAGATAAGCCGTACACTGCCTTTAACTTAGGCGACCGGCACTCGCAGCGTTTCTGTGGGCTGAGAGCCTGTAATTCTCTCAGCGCCGGCAGAGCATCCACGGCTGAGTCAAGGAGCGACTGGACAGTGTCTTGTGATGACTCGCCTTTGACAAACCCTTCAATGGCAGCGATGAAGCGAGCAGGCTGGAATTCGTTATTGTCCTCTGGGCTTTCGTGCCTGGGTTTGTCGATGCCCAGATTGACGCGTTCCAGGGCGTCACCTAAGCGCATTGGTTTGCCTTGCTCAATACCTTCCATCAAGAGACTGAACAAATCGAAAGCCGTATCGCCACCGACACTTTGGGTGTTCTGTTGAGCGATCGGAGCGTCAAGGTCAAGCAGGTCTTCTGGGTTTGGGACAGACCGATTGCGCACAGGCACAAACTCATCATCAAGATCCATCAGATCGTCTGCATAATTCGGGCCAACCTTGATTGGAAAGTGTTTTACCTGGTCAACCCCATGAGCTTTTTCGTTGTCCCGGACATCGACCTTGCATCCCTGGGATTCGTGGGGCAGCGGCTTGTCTTGAGATAAGGCAATGTCGGAAGTGAGGGCGTTGGAGATGTCTGCCAGAGCCGTTGTGGTCGAAGGACTAAGCAGCTTAGGTTGAGCATCGGCACTGTGAATAGGAGGGTATTTGTTCTGGCTAATCTTGATCAATGTATCCTTGTTGCAGAGCCAATCTTGGGCCTTATTGTCTCGCATGCCTAGCGAGGGGCCTCCGAAGACAGAGGAGACGGGATTGTTCGCGGATGTAAGGCTAGTGGCCGACGGCATACGGGGATGCGCAATACTCGCGCATGGCACGGTCGGAGCTGTTGTACAGTTTCAGCTCAAGAAGCTTCATGAAATCGGAAACAGTTTTCATTGTCTTACTTATGAAGTGATTGGGAGTGCGACCGGATGGTGTTAAGCCTGGGATTTTGGCAGGCGCTCGGTTAGCAAGGGCGGGGATGCTGGGAACCACAGGATGCTTCGGTACAGTCCGATTTCTAGAAGCTGCGTTGAACCCCTTTTTCCTGCGGAAAGGTCTGGTTCGGGGTTCATGAGTCCTTGTGAGGAAGAAGTGTGCCTCCATCATCAGCTTGCGCCTTTCTGCGTGAGCTATGAGATGGCGGGGGA